TAACGAAAGTGTGCCTTAATACTATGTATGTAATGATTATATGTATGTAATACAATTATGTATGTATCTACTATTTTTTTTAATAATATAATAATAATATATGGTTTAATAAAATATGCAATAACATTTTTATAAGTTTATAATTTACGATTTTTGGTTATTTAGTTTAATCCGGACTTTCATTAATTCGGACAACCTAGAGCCCCAATTAGTCCGGATTAATGAGGTTCTACTGTACCAACWTTTTACTAAGGAATTTCAAAAATATATAAATGATTTGGAAATTGAAGATGAAACTAAAGTTATTGATTCTAAACTTAAAACAGGTTTTAAAGGAATTGCTATGGGTTTACAAAGTGCTCTTGATTTATTCAAATTGTTAATTTCTAAAAATCATATGACCTTTTTTATAACATACAAGATAAGCCAGGATCATTTAGAAACTTTTTTTAGTGCAGTACGAAGTAAAGGAGGATACAATGACAATCCAACATGTCGTCAATTTCAGGCAGCAGACAAGCGATTATTAGTGCACAATAATATAGTGGGTTCGATGAATGGCAATTGTTCAATCCTAGATAATACAAATATAGAAGCTGTGAATAACAACACAAATATTGAAAAAGAAGAAGAATTGAATTTTAATTTTACACGGCAAACCGAGAGGCATTTGGTCCACCATGATTATTTTGAAAAGGTTCACCACTTGAATCCTTACATTGAAGATGTTTGTGTGTATATTGCTGGATTTGTTACAATTTAAGCAATTAAAAAAATTTCATGTACATCTTGTAAATCCCATTTATTGGCAACAACCCAAAACAGCAGACTAGCAAACGTTAAGGATAGAGGTGCTTTAATAAAACTCAGTATTGATGTACAGACTGTTTGCATTGAAACTGAAAAAGTTTTCAGAGAATATAACTATGCTATCATCAATAAAACAAAATAAAATYTTTTGTTTTAAATAAAGTAAAGATTAACCTGTATAGCAAATTTTCAATATTTAGCAGTATGACTTAAGTGAATTATGAACATCACTCTTTATTTGATAAAACGCGTCAATTCGACAGCCACCGAGACCAATTAATCCATCTTCTTTCCGATACCTATTACAAAATACGGATTTTTCATGAAATAAGGAAATCCAATGACAAAATATCTTTACGAACCAAGCTGACAAAAATGATACATTTTAAACACGAATAATAAAAATAAATTTAAAAAAAATAAGATTATTCAACTGTTTGYAATATTAATATTTATATATTATTAACGTGTAATGTGATGTGTATTATTAACTAACATTTAAGATTTAAGAAATAAGAATAAGATTGAATAAACTGAAAGAAGCTTATACACTTGAAGGAAAGTTGGGGCTGTTGGATGTTCATTGGGTTCGGTTGCTTGTCGTACTTTTTCCAAAGAATTGCTAAATAGTAATATAATAATTAAATGTATGTGATTATCTTTTTATTAATGCTTTTAAATTACCTCTATACGATCCTGGTTCATTTTAYTTGTTAGAACATACTTAAAACCAATGTCCTTCAACAAATGATTTGTTAAATCAATAGTGGAACGGATTGTTACGCGAAGTCCTTCAGCTGTACTTCTTGTTAAAAATTCATTCTGAGTTATATTACCTTTTTCAAAATGACTTTTCCACTCATCAAGCCAGCTCAATGTATCTTCTAAAACCTTAAGTTAAAAAGTATAGTTAAAAATGTAGTGATATGAAAGTATTGTTGTAAAATACTTTAAAATCTTGAYTGTTGATTCTTATTCCTTCCTTTGGATGTTTACGATCTAAAGCATCAAACAACGAATTAAAAATTGATGTAAAATCTTGTGTTTCTTCACTATCTTTTAATAATTCAATGTTCTGATGTTCTCTGTAAAATTTGATTCCACAGGCCATTGCATTACTAACTACTAAGCACCTGTTATTAATATTTAGATTTACAATTATTTACTGTATTAGTATACATATATATATATATATATATATATATATACATATATATTTACTAATAAGTAATATGTAATAAAACTTATCTATCTATACTTACCTGTGTTGATAATTTCACTGACATCTTAGAAAAATTGTCTAAGTGTATGTGGCGTTGTGAAATTTTCGGATAAATTCGTGTAGGTATTGACATATTTTGTGATGATCAAATGTGGAGTATCTTTGGTTGAGTAAAGGCCCTGTAAATTGTCGTATACCAAGTTGGAAATGTAAAACACTAACTAAATACCTACTTCAATTAAACATTTGTATTACAAGAGATTTTTTCCGAAAACCTAGACTAATCCAAGTTGTATGTCGATGGAAAGCCACCGAGTTCCGACAATTTCTTTTATATACTGGTCCAATAGTACTTAAAGATATATTAAATGAAGAATGTTATAATAATTTTTTAKCATTACATATTTCAAAGCGAATTCTTTTAAGTGATAATAACCAACAACTTCTACATTATACTCGTAATTTATTAAAATATTTTGTCAACTCATTCCAGTATATCTATGGTGCTCATTTTATATCCCATAATGTACATGGAATACTTCATTTGTGTGATGACTATGAAAGGTATGGACCTCTCGACACATGCAGTACCTTKCCTTTTGAGAACTACATGAAAGTCTTAAAGAAAATTTTGCATAAAAATGAAAAACCTTTACAGCAAGTGATTAGGCGATATAATGAACTATGCAAAAATGAATCAATTCAACCAATCAGCCCTAATGAATTAAAGTACTCAAATTAAAAACCCATATTGTTTTATTCTCACTTAATCTAATGAAATTGTACAATAATTGAATTAAAAAAATCTTCTGATAAAATTACAGTTTTTATTGGTAAAACTTTTGAAGAAAAAGAAGAT